GAGAGTGGGAACCTCCCAGAACATTGTATTGTGCCACGCCCAACAGAAATAACCCAGGTGGGCGACTTTAAAATCAGGATCTCCTCAGTTGCTAATAGCAATTCCCACCTTGGAGTTTACAAAGACTTATGGGTAGAAAAGCCACACTAAGTAATTTACTACACCGCACTTATGCACATCTTTCCTGATGTATTACTAAAGTGAATTTCATGTGTAATTTTAAAAAATGTGGGTATTAAAAGATTTAAAATTATTTAATGTCTGCCATTATATTTCTGTTGGACAGCACTAGTCAAAGACAACATTCTGCATTGAGTTTTGTTGATAAAAAGAGTTCCACTTGAAAAATTTCTATAAAGAAATATGGGGATAATGAACAATTCTCCTTGCCCCTTGACAATGTAAATATACATGCACCTCAATTTTTGAGATCCTTACAGAACTGAAGGACTTCTGGTGGCACAGTGCCTAAGGCATTTGCTAACCAGAAGATTGGCAGTTCAAACTCACCAGCGACTCCGTGGAAAGATGGGACAATCTACTTCTGTAAAGATTTGTTGTTGTTGTTGTTATGTGCCGTCGAGTCAGACCAAGATTTACCACCTCAGAAACCCAATGGAGCTCGCTATGAGTCGGAATTGACTTGATGGCAGCGAGTTTGGTTTTGGTTGGTTAATAGAACTGAAGGAGTCATAGGTAGTTCACAATTAGCCAGGCTACAATTGATAAAGAGTCTTTTAGAAAGTAACAAATACAAAAATGTTAAAAAGGTGAAACACCTTATTTTAAATATTAAATCACGGAAACAAATTAAAATTTTTCCTAACTTTAAAAGTCCCTCCTTCGAAGGGCTAATTTCCTTGGTTTCAATAATCTAGGTTATTAAAGCTGTTTGATAAAAATTTTTCAAATTGCTGTTTAAAATAGGAATAATTACAGCCAAAGAGTCTCTAGTCAGGATTTTCCGCTGGCCTGGAGGTAAAATCTATTTTGGGGTTTAGTTCTGAATTGTTTTTTAAAAATTTTACCCTGACCGTACTGACCACCTGTATAGTCTTCAATTTCCAAAGACATCTTACGCCTTTCCCTCCGCTTCTCAAATCCTTCCGGGTTCTTTCAGCTCCCAGGCCTCCCGGTCGCCAGCTTGACGTCGACAGGTGCAGCGCAAAGAGCCACCTCCC